GATAGCTCTATGTGGAAATTTGACGGTCCCGATCGATATATCCACATCGATTTCCCCATAAACGGTGGCAGCTTCACCCGTAGCAGTTCTCAGACGCCATCTTGAGTTCACAAGTTGCTTTCTTGAAGACGTCAGAAGTCCACGTCGCAGGATCGTCTTCGATGCACCAGTATCCACCAACAATGCGCATTTCTTTCCGTCGATCTGTCCATCCACGTAGACGCTGCTGTTATCACGCCGTAGGGAGGCCACAAAGATGAGAGGGTCTTGAGAATGACGGGTCGAAGCTGCCCCCTCGAAGTCGACCCGTTCTAGTTTTCCTGCGGCTGCGTGGAAGATGATCCTTCCTCAGCAGCCTGTTTCGCACGATTACAAGCTCTCTGGAGGTGGCCTAACTCACCGCAATTCCAACAACGCACCGGTCTTCTCTTCTTATCCCAGAGGCCCTGGATGGCGTTGATTAAGCTTCAGTGGGATCTTGCCTGGTATTTTCCGCTATGTTTCCGCTGTCGTTCATTGCTCGGACTCTCGCTGATCCTCGGGAAGCTTCTGCTGCTGCCTCGATCTCAAGGGCAGCTGCCAGAGCACTGGTGAGGTCTTTTGGTCGAGTGAGACGAACTGCTTTCTGCATTTCGATATCCCGCAATCCATCTACGAACGTTTGGACAGCTAGACATTCCATAAGGGATTCTGGGGCTGACGGGTAGGCACAGTGGACCAATCGGGCTACATCAACTTCGAATTCTTGAAGACTCTCGTTGGCTCTCTGTCGACGGCTCTTCATTTGTGATTGAAACACTTGCTGCAGGTGTTCATGGCCATATCGCATGTCTAGACGTTTGACGAGATGTTCGTAGCTATCGACTTCACCTTCCGGAATGGCTTGCAAGATGTTCAATGCATCACCCCGTAGCGCTACTGTTAGAGCCACAACCTTGTCCTTGGATGTCCACCCATTGGCTTTGGAAGCTGCTTCGAACTGCTTCAGATAGTTCGGCCACGATGTTTTTCCATCAAATGTAGGTGGTTTCACTCGATTGGTAGTAGTCACTGCATCTGGCCCCACTGTGGTTTCAATCATGGGTCGTTGACCATTTCCAGACTTCTCCAGCAAAGATCTTCTTTCTATTTCGAGCTGCAGCTTCTTCTCCATTTCTCCTATCTGAGTGGTAAATTGGGTTGAAACCTGAGCAATGATCTTATCCTGCTGAGACGCGATCTGTTCTTGCTGAGCAGCGATCTGAGTCAGAACCTCTTCCCGATGTGTTGATATCTGGGTCGATACTTCTTCTCGTTGGGCAGATATCTGAGAGGCAATCTTTTCAGAAAACTGAGCTAGTACCTCTTTCTGAGCTGATATCTCTTCCCGTTGAGCCGATATCTGATCCAATACCTCTTGCCGTTGAGCTGAGATCTGCGATGCGATCTGATTTTGCTGAGCAGTAATTTGTGCCAGAACTTCTTCTCGCTGAGTTGCCATCTGGTCAGCAATATCCTGTCGCTGAGCCGCAATCTGGTCCGTGATCTTCCCTGCTGAGCCACCATCTGGTCCGTGATCTTTTCCTGCTGAGCCATCATCCGGTCCGCAATGTCCTGTCGCTGAGCCGCTATGTCCTGTCGCTGAGCCGCTATCTGTTCCGAGATCCCAGCCAACATCGATTCCGCTGAAGCTGGTTCCTCGAAGGTGAACGTCTCTGGGTCCTGACCTACGCTCACCATATACTCTATGAGACGATGCTGAAGTGTAGCCTTGATCCCTGTTGTGTCGAGATCTCTCTCCTCCAACTCGCGTTTCAAGTCCATCACTCTCAACTCGTGTAGTTTCTTCATCACAACGGTCTGTTCACTTCACACTGGAATATCCCTCTTCTGACACCAATTGTTACGTTATTCGTGTGCAGAAGCGAACACGACACTATTTATTTTCGAACTGATTTATTTGAACTGAAGAAACACTAATTTATATCGAACTTATAACTACTATTTATGTAAAACGATTTATAACACGCGGTATATAACTGTCTCTCTGACACTCGCTGTTTGACTGCCTGACTCAGTTGTTCGGCCGTCTTATATATGAGAACACATGGCAGGCTTTGGTCGAGAACGTTCTCGAATGATTTTCCGTCACCTTCTTTTTGTTCTAGAAGCTTCTTAGAACAAAACCTCTCTCTCTAATTGTTCCATAGATTGTTTCCAGAACATTCCAGAATCTTCTGTGACTTTATTTGTCACTAGGGCATATATTGAGTGTTCGGAAATATGCTGGTGTATGTAGGAATCATTGAGAGGTTGGAGAGCAATCGGGGATGCGTGATACAGGATGATCGTTGTACTCCTGCCTTCCTGCTGATGTTTCTAAAGCCCCTCCAAGGGGAATATCATTACAATATGTATCTCGAAGTAGGGGGTGCCATTTGATATTGCATAGTAGGGGTGTCTGGGGGTGAAGGGAAGAACATAAAATTCAATTGATACTGGCATTTTACTTCCCCCTCGATATCTAAATCGACCTGTTCTTTCCGAAAACTGTAATCTTCGCAGATAAAAAGATATGCAGGGTGGTAAGTTTTGAAATGAAAGCCCTGTATAGAATCTACAGTTTTCAATAGTTCCTTTTTTTTCTAATAAATAAAACAGTTATTATTCGAGAAGAAAATTCATGTTGTTCTAGGATAAACCCTTCATGTTATCTATATGTTATCATTAGTTAAATAAGGTTAAAAATCGAAAAACAGGAAAAAATCGTTTCGCATGTGCCAGCTATGTTAATAACGTGGAATAGGCTTCACGCATACGCGACCATACGATTCTTCCACGATTTTTTTCTGTTTTCGTTACGTTGGTATATTCAGCTTTCAAATGAATCAACTAATTATTTGTAAGTGTGGTTAAACTATGTATTTAAATACATTTTGCAAGGAATCTGAAAAATATAGCCCTTCAGACGTAGCTGCAACCAGCCTCAATATGTTTTTTTTTTATGGTTGAAAAAGGAATCTAATGTACCTACCAAACCAAGTTTTAAACTCCTCTACACTACGTGTTTCGCTAACTATCTTAGCATCTTCAGGAGCAGATTAAAACTGAATATCCGATTCTAAAATGCTGCTTTAACATATTGTATGCCCGATCTTTACACATATGGCATGTAAATGGCAAGATAGCTATAGTTAGAGAGAATGATTCGGCTATCGCACGTCTCTGCGTTAGACGTGGCAACACTGGCCACCACAGTGAAACACAGCCGCTATTCTCCGTAACTGCCATGTTGCCTAATGGTATCATTTCCCATATACAATGTGTCCCTGAAAAGTCTGTACAAAATCTCAGCACATATTCCTGAGGTAAAAATAAGTCGATTTGAAGCAACTTAGCTCAGTCCAAAATTGTTTCATTTCCGAGATACAGGGTGGTAAATTTAGAAAATGAAAATCGATTTTTTTTAAATGTACTAACAATTTTAAACGTATCGCTTCAAAAATTGGTAGCCTGGGGCTTTTTGAGATGCGAAACCCAAATACGAACACATTCTCACTGTGGCCATTATAGAGGGCGCTTACCAATGATGCACTTCTTTAGAATGGTCATTACTTTTTCTCAGTGTAGTTTTCCACTTTTTTGTTGATGAAATGATTTTCTGAATATTTTCAAGTTAAAAATGTACACTTATGAAAATTCGCTAAAGTCAGCTGTTTTCGAGATATTTCCGTTTTTAGTGGTCGATGCCGCACCGAAATATTTAATTCATTTTTGTTGTTTGCTGTTATCTTCGTCGATGTAATTTGGTTAGTGAATGTGCAGTGCAAAAAATGGATTCTTCAAAATATTATTTTGGAGTGTACTTGTCGATTTTTATTTTTTAAATTTACCACAGCCCTGTATCTCGGAAACGGAGCAATTTCGGACTGAGGTAAGATGTTTCAAATCGGCTTATTGTGACCTCAGAACTATGTGCTAAGATTTTGTACATACCTTATAGGGACACCCTGTATGTAACGATTCGATGAACAATCTTTATACTAGGTATATGTTCATTAGAACCGTGTGGGGCACAAACTGCGCATTCAATATCTGTCATGGTTGGGTTCACATGTTAATCCAAATTCTAAATCACTAAACTTTAGAGAGAGCTTATTCGTAACTCTATTAGGTACTATCTTTAACTGTTTCCAGGCTTTAACATACACCTAATTCTCTAATATTATCAACCAGTTTGACTAATTCAAGGTCATTAATGTGTGTGTTATGATTGTGATTGAACATGTGTTCGGCTGCATTCGATTTATCAATTTTACTGTATTTCATATATGCGAGGTGCTCTTCGAACCTTTTTTTGATGGGTCAACCAGAATTATGATATTCTTCAGAAAATAATAATCTTCGCTTCAAATTTCTGGTATGTTTGATGCAAAGTTGATGTATCGTCTAACATTCAGGACCGAAATTTCTTTAAATTGATTGTTTTCAGTACTAAAATAGTGCCAAAGCCAAAATCATCGTTCAAAATATCTTCAAACTACTTTACGTATGAAACCAAAGTTCAGGACGGTTTTGTCGAAGTTATAATTGAAAAAAATAAAAAAATATCAAGAACTAGCAGTTGCAATAGAACGTTCAAATTCGACACACATGTGTGAAATTGGAATGGAAACAACTTCCATTCGTAAAGTTTTTCGCAATTCGAACAAATAAGTCAATTTGCATCGATTAATTTGAAAAAAAATTAACTTTTGACGTATAGTAAAAGTCACGTCACTCCGACCTAGTAGGCCATTTTTCATCTTATGTATGGCAGAATTCAACGCTCAAGTCAAATTCCAAGATGAATTATTATTCAAAAGTTTTTCCCATATGATGCCAAATTTATGAATGACACTGAATACATTGAGTATAAAAATGTTAGTCCAGAGTGTGTTAGATGTGGTCATATCTGGAGACCTGGTGAAACTTATTGAAAAATTGTACATTTGAATCAATAATCATTGCTTATCACTTACCTAGGATGATTATTTTTGGTACTATGTTGAAACAGCGAATTAAGAGATGTTCTCATAACAACAGCATCGTCATAATCCTGAAATGAAATTGTCAAACAGAGTAAGATTGATTATTGATATATTTAGTTTTGACGAAAGACATGAATTCATTAGAAATATTGAAAGATATACACTTGTGGCAAGAAAAATTTATCCACAGAGAAACCGTGCGCCGTATCGCGTATCACGTTAACACCTCCTTCGAGCGAATCCATTTTGCCAGACCACGCCCGGCCGAAGAGATTATCGTTTGCCACACGTGCCAGACTCGAGTAGGTGGGGCAACGACGCCCGTGACTCGTTCCTCTGTAGGAAAATTATTCCTGCCAGACGTGTTAGTGAAAAGTAAAGAAAATCTGTGAAAAAGTAATTTTGGTCCATTCATCTAATAATAGTAGGCCTGGAAAATTTTGATAACTCACATTTTTCCACTTTTTGGAGGCGAGCTCGTTGCTAGGTACATAATGAGAATTTAGTTTTCGAAAGTCGGCCAACGGATGCCAAATCGCAGACACTGTTGGAATTAGAGCTTCATCATTGGGAACTCGTAAAACGTGAGAGATACAGGGTCGGTTAAATCATGACAAAGGTGGGCAATTTTATGACTAACAAAATGCCGTTTTGGACAATTCCGAATACTTTCGGAGATATCCGAAAAAAACCGAAATTTCCTTGAACCTCAACCATTATTTTTTCAAGTTATATGAAGCAATTAGTCTGAATGAATGACGCTTGATCATGGTTACTTTTTCTTCCCTACAAATAAATTTGACATTCGAAGTTTCACCTTCCAGAAACCATCGCCAACTATTTTTTTTAAATACGGACCTAGATTTTTTATAAAAAAATTTCTAACCTTTGGATAGTTCTTGAGCTATGAGCTATCCCAAAATGTTATTTTTGAATATTTCATTTAAAAAAAAAGATAGTTTCTGTATTTATTTGTCAAATGTGATAGCTCATAGCTCAATGCTTTTGTGCTATCCAAAGGCGAGGAAGAATGAAATGAAAAATAGAGGTCCGTGACAGTCCGTGCTAAAAAAAATGAGTTGATGATGGTTCCTATTGGAGGAAATGTTCGACATGTCGATCGGAAAATGACTCAGTCTACCTACAAATCTTCAAAAACATTTCGAATTCAACGCCCTGTATCTCGTTCATGAAGCGTTCTAGGTAAAAATCAAAATTGCAAATAATTATTTTCTTTAAATTTATCCAGATTTTCCATTTGGTCAGAAAAAACTGGACCGCCCTGTATATATCTTCCAGTTTTGTCACAGATTTTCTTCAAGATTTTCAACGATTTTTGTTTGGGTGATTATGTGTTATAACAGCTAGGTTCCTTACAAGCGAAGCAATATTTGAAGAGCAGATTCATATAAAAAAATTTATAAAATACATGACACATTCATGTCAAGTTATGTATGTCTTGGCCAGCGAGGCCTCTCTATTCAATTCATTTCAGCGATAGACATTCCTCAAATTCAGCTGTTTTTTATTTGTTTTCATCAGAAAACACATTTTCTTATAATGGTTCGTGAAGGCTTTTCTCCTGACTATTTCTTCATTTTATATTATTTTTTTATATAAACCGGTGCTCACGCTAGCTGCTGAACTTAAAAAAATGAGCAAATACGCTAAAAGCTCAGAAAGCAACATTTAAAGTAAGCTTACAACAAAATTAATACATTATATCAGTTTTTAAAAACATTATGTGGTCGTACGTATTTTTTTAATTCCATGTCTGACTCTTACCTGGCGTACACCCTCAGACTCTGGTGCGGGTCTATCCGGTCGCAGACCTAGGACAGACATATCAACCTACCTACACCAAAGAAAAAAGTTTACTCATGGTTAATAAAAGTTTCGTTGTGGCAAGTAAAAGGTTCATTTGTATATGGGACAGCTGCGCAAAAGACTCATAGTGAGGAAAATGAGAATTCTGGCACCTGGGTACATGGCATAATTGAAAAAATGTCGAGTAAACAAGTGAACATGCAGTGAACAAACTATTTTAATAGGGATCATTAAACGAGTCTATTCGTTAGAAATGAACAGTTTAGTTGAGATGAGTAACCGACCCTTGTTGGTAATCACTTTACACTAACTGAAAATAATGAATGAATGAATTCTGTTAGAAGTGCACTTATCTTTATCAAAAGTTCACTGCGTATTTTTTGAAAGTAATTAAAATAAAGTAACAGAAGGTCAGCATTATTGCATCTTCATGTGGATTCTGAGATACCCAGTTGGGAATGCAAGTTTGCTCGTCAAAAAATCAGTTGTATAATTGTTTCAAATGAATAAACGGCCACCTCTTGATTTCTCAATATGTCAGAATATGTAATTGAATTTCAGAATGCAATTTCATAAAGATTCACGGTATGGACAGGTTATATAATTGTATGCTGTGAAATTATAAAAGAAGTACCTACTTTCAAACCTATGTGCTTACCAAAAAATTTAGTGTTTCCTTAGTCTGGATCAGGATTTCTACAGCTATTTAAAACAGATCGCTGGATTTCTGAGGACCTGAAAGGTACGGGATATTTACATACCATAATAATCATTCTTGGAGGTTATCGACTACTGGAAGAACATGATTGTGATAGGCAACATCAGCAGTCCTAAAATCTAGAATGAAGATAATAACATTCGAAAGTACTAGTAACTTGATAGTCATTGAGGCAGTTCCATTTCAGACTCAACTATCAATATTTATCCGAACGAATGATACTTCAGTTCATTTTTTCTTTTTTTTTGTGAATACTTTTAAAAGTGTTTCCGGAGCCTGAAGAATCTCACAAGTCAGATACAGAAATCACTCAGTTTTCTCAATTGTTTCACTACTCATACACATCAATATATGCCACACATTTTCAGTCATGTCGTTCACATGACACTCGTAAATAAGTCATTTTGTCTTCTTTTATCAATTTTTTTTCGGTTAGCTCCATGTGTTGGTGGACTGTGGATCGCCTGATACCATGAACATCAATTCTGGTGTTCCACAAGGATACATTTTGGCACCAACATTTTTCCTATTCCATATCGATGATCTGTTGGGAGTAACCATTTGCCTTTCTCTGCAGATGATAGTTCTCTCCATTCTACGTTCTCTTCCAGAATTCTTGCTAGGAAACTGACAACTCACGACGAAGTCAGGGTCAACGCTATCAATGAAGATCTTGCTGAAATTACCATTCCCACAAAGTTCACCATATCTATGACTTTTGGTATTTCCATCAGCAATACTCTTATGGGAATATCATGTCACATATATTGCGAAAGCTGCTTCACAGAAACTCGGATTTTTATTTCCAGCAAAAAGCTCACTCACCGATTCGAAGAAGAATGTCAATTGTCAATTTAGGAGGATTTTATTTTTTATTTTTCATGTTCTACTCTTGAATGTTCATCAGATATAATTCAATGTTCGACGTGGCAAATAGCCAGGAAAGTAGTTGTTTTCTGTTGAATATTTGGAATGATGTGTGCAAATACATATTTTTGTCTGAAGGAGAATGCAAATTCTCAAGTTCAGAAGTTTTTATATTTTATTTTCAAACTCTTATCGTGTGTGTTCTATTGAATAAACTGAAAAAGAGTAGTTATTCTCATCACATAGAGAATGCGAATTCTCAATGTATTGCTTCATATAAATATATATCCATTTTTGTATGTTCATAATTTATCTGAGAATATTCCTTTTCAATACTTATTTTATATACATTTTTTGTACTTAAATATTATTTGTTCTAGTTGTAGTCAGCTGGTCTGAAGATTTCGCTGAAAAAATGTAAGAACGAAACAATGATCTCCCATCAAAATAAATCATCACTTTTATATGCACCGGTGTGAAAGCAGCAACGCGACATCATCTAGCAACGAATGAGATCAACACAGGCAGGCCGCAGAGAGACGAAATGAAAATTTTGAGAATTTCACGATTTAATCAGCTATAATAAACAGAGAACACTTCACTCAACAAGATCAGATAGTTGTGTGAATTTGTAGCATCCATTCCACGCCTCTTCCTCCCTCTTATCAATATAATTCAAATTCCAACTTAAAGGTCAGGAATGCATTTTTTCTTCTTGAAACAAATGTCAAATAACTTCCTGAACACGATCAGATAGTTGTCTGATTTTGTAGCATCCATTCCACCTCTCTTTCATCCTCTTATCAATATAATTCAAATTCCAACTTGGGAGCTTTGGAAATAATTTTTGAAATATTTTTTCTCGGAACAGATGTAAAATAGCTTTCTAAATACGATCAGATAGTTGTCTGATTTTGTAGCATCCATTCCAGCCCTCTTTCACCCTCTTCAGTATAATTCAAATTCCAACTTAAAGCTTTGGAAAGAATTTTTGAATGATTTTTCTCTTGTAACAGATGTAGAATAGCTTTCTGAATACGATCAGATATTTATCAAAATATCAAAATGTGGTCAGTGCCGTACTCCAAAAAAAGTTACATCAATTTTTGTCAAAGAGAATGCGAAATACCTAACTCCCTGTATATTGATTGAATTGGTACGACATGTTTTCCATGCACATTCACTATGGTAAACTACCCTACGAATTTCAGAGTAGTACCTGTTTAGCATTTGGAAATATTAAAGTAAATACAGAAATTAAATTGTTCTTTATCGCCCTCTCATGGCTCAATGCTGCATTTTCGTATAGAGGTAAGTTGATTTCAATCGTCCTATTTTGGTCTTTAGCGTACCCTTTAGAATTCATGGTTCGTTGTTCTGGAACACCTTGTAGAACAGCTTAGCTATGGAATCCTATGCCAAAGGAAGAACTTATTATCTCGTAATAAGAGTTCCAATTTCTGCCTACTTTATCTCCCTATCCTCTCTAGGTACGCACGATGGTTCCCGAACCTAATAGGGATTTCCAACTAGGGAAAAAGCCAAATACCCAAAGTGGAATGCATTGGTCACAAAGAGAGAAACTCAAAGTCATTACCACAACTAGTTCATAAAATGAACGACAATGGTAGATAACGAGAGAAAAACAACTACTTTCCTGGCTATATGCCACGCAGAACATTGCATTACATCCTCCCGAAACCTATGCGATAGTTCGTATAAACGAATAAAATCGCAAGTGTCCTTCCTAAACGCTGAGCTGCGCTTAAGTGGTTCAGGAACGCTGACTACCTGCAGACCGGTTTCGAGCTCTTGGCTCTCATCAGTACAGGGCTGTCCCAGATAGCTTCTTGACCGCTATCTGGTGCGAACCTGACCCAACGTAAACTCATCTCAGCATTTATACCATACGAGGCGAGGCGTACGACGTCTGTGAAATGAAAACGCGAACGCCGAACGCCACCTGGCAATAGGGATTTCCTTTGGTGCGTTGCAAGAGATGGAAAAAAATGACAATGACAGATTAACAGATCTCTGATTTCATTTTCTACTTCCATATACGGCATTTGGTATTGGAATTTTGATATTGATTCAATATTTTTTGGCGGGTAGAATCTATAATATAGTATAGAAAGTGGCCGGTCGTTATTTCTACTCGCAAGAAATATTTTCTTGAATATTTTCAAATCTCTCCAAAAGATGTATGTACTACCTAGGTACCAGCTATAACGCCCAGTGGATTTTCAAGAATGGACGAGTGGACTGATAATGAATTATTGGCATTCAATTACTCCACTGTTTCGTTAGGAGCCCAAAATAATTTTCGCAACCCTTCTCACGCTTGCATTATGTAAATTATGAGTCTATACGTTGTTCGTAATTGTTGAATTTCAGAGCCCATTTCAAACTAACCTTCATGCCGACCATTTGGCGATACGTCGAATAAATGGTGACGTCAATTTTTATGCTGTTTCGTAATTGGTCAGATAATCTTCCATTTCCACTCATGAAGCAAGGTTGTCACCAATCATAATCAAGTTATATACAGGGTGGGCCACCAGTAACGCCTCGGTCTCTAGAAGGCTAACCACTTATCTTCTTGGAATTCTTCCTCTCTAGGAAGTTGCATGTCAACATAGGCTACCATTTGAAATTATTTTGAAACATACAGAATGTCCCCAAAAATCACAAAACACTGAAGTTGAACTTTTTTCAATCGAACACCCTATATATTATTTCATTTTGAGATTGGCCAGGTGGCCGTGCGGACAGAGTGTCCATATTCTAATTCGCATTCGCTTGCCGGTCGTGGGTTCGAGTCCCGTCGACTGCAGAAATTTTTCTGATGGCCCAAGAAAGTGTTTGGGATCACACGTTAAAAGGTAAGGCCCCCGTCATTCCTTGCTCGTACAAGACTCTCGAAGACTTCTGAGGGTTGCTCGTAAGGGGGCAACCGAATGACGGATAGAACAGTTTTAGAACAATTCTCCTTGGTCAGCTGATTTCAACAATCCATCATACTTGGGGTCTAGCAGTTATAATTACTGAGATATAGGGTGTGAGAAATCGAGATTTTCCAAGTTCAAGAATTTTTTGTGTCTAAACCATTCATAATTGGTCAAAACGGCTCACATGTCCCTATCTCAACTTTTGATCAACTATCTACTGACATTTAATTGAAACAAATACAGGGTGGTGCAGAATTCAGAATCTTGATCACCCGGTATATGTCTCAATTAAATATCAGTAGATAGTTAATCAAAAGTTGAGATAGGGACATGTAAGCCGTTTTGACCAATAATTATGAATAGTTTCGACACAAAAAATTCTTGAACTTGGAAAATCTCGATTTCTCACACCCTATATTTCAGTGATTATAACTGCTAGACCCCAAGTATGATGGGTCGTTGAAATCAGCTCATCAGGGAGAATCTCAAAATGAAATAATATATAGGGTGTTCGATAGAAAAAAGTTTAACTTCAGTGTTTTATGGTTTTTGGGGACACCCTGTATGTTTCGAAATAATTTTAAATGGTAGCCTATGTTGACATGCAACTTCCTAGAGAGGAAGAATTCCAAGAAGATAAGTGGTTAGCCTTCTAGAGACCGAGGCGTTACTGGTGGCCCACCCTGTATATAGAAATATATTACGAGTCATGTCGTTGAATAACACATAATAGGAGGAACCCATAATGTTATAGTTCCTTCTTGACTATTTCGAGAAATCAGCATGTCCAAATATTTCTTATTCTCCATAACAACATATCATATGAATGTTTGAGACTTGGCAACATTGTGCTGAATGCTGCGAACTGACAAGACTACGCCCACAAGTCCACAAGTCGTGCGCCGTGGTTGTCAGGTTCACCGATTCAAATGTCCTCTATTGTGTGAATTAATATAATTAGTATTCTCACAAATTTATTAAAAACAAAATGAGCCACAAATCATGAGGGAACATTTTGAGACAATTGAATTTTCATTGCTAATTAGGAGCATAACCAATACTCAATTGAGAATTCAACTAACAACTAACATTTCTGAAATTCCGAATAGTATTTCAACACATGGAAACTGTGCTATGGTCTGCCCCTACTCAAGGAATCGTGGCGTCAGTTTTTACTTTAAAATTATCGTGGCATTATTGATG